GCGCACCAGTGCACGTCCTCATATGTATGTGACACGAGCAAAGTAACGGTGCGAAGTCCCGGTGCCTCGAGCAATCTGAGTAAAGCAGCATCCACCGAATCACTAGACGGTTATGATGGACCGCTACTAGGTCAACCAGGGCGGCCTGGCACGCGTGACCTCGAGTGGACTATTTGCAGACTTAATATAAGAAAACAGGTATATAAGTATTTCATTCAGTACTTCTACACTACTGCAGCTGGAGCACCTGCAGGACGACAGTTTGAGGGGGGAAAATAAATGTTCTGGCAAATAATCGCAACAATCAAAAAATCCTGAATTTTTGAGGAAAAATGGAATGACGCGAGTGCTAAGAGTATTTGTCTCTCAGATGATTGTGTGCATAAAGTCAGTGTTTTTGCAGGTTGAAAGGGATTATGCGAGGTTTCGACGCGAACGAGGACTATTACCTTCCGGTGCATTCTTTTTCAGCGTACCTTCTTCAGCCAAGGTTTTCGCCCAACCGGAGTGCTTTTGATAATTTATTTCATTCCGTTTTCTTTCCAGTCAGGCATTGTGTTTCTATTTGATTTCTTTTTTTGTTATTTCTTTTTCCATTATAATGCACCTCGGCCACTGCATTCCTCAATGATCCTTGATTTCTAAACGGATCCTTAAATCGTTTTCAATCACCACAGAATCTTCTCAGTTCACTTCAGTACAATTCTTTTTTTTTTAATAATCCGTTTATTCTGGAGACACTTCCTATTTCAGAAACCACGGGACTTGTTTGGACAATTCTGGGCGCCATCATTGCAAGAATCATCGGCTGCAGCACAAGCAGCAGCGGAAGCCCTACAAAAACAGCTGCTTGCAAGCGACATGACACGCATATTCAAGCCCTGGAAGATTTTATCAAACGTTGGCTTGTTAACAGCATTTCGCGATAATCCCTCCAAAGGTGTACTGCTCCGTTCAGCGATCCCAACCACACCACCGACCACTCCTATGCGACAAAAACCAAGTTTCATCCGTACGTCACATTCAGTATATTGATGTTTCACGCCAATTTGAAACTAATATGGCAGCAAAAAAGCAACTAAAAAAGAGATTTGATTAGAGAGATGTGTGGCGCCCCACCGAAATGCTTCTCACTTTTTTTAAGGCAAAAAATTTTCAGGTGATACGCCCGAACGAGCAGCAAGTTCTCCCTGCCTTCTGGAAGCACTTAACCTATCGTCGACATTAAGGACTACGGCCAGATCGAGAAGTGTGCAAAATATGTACAGATGTGTGGACGCATGCAAGTGAATAATGGAGATTTCGACCAAGACTTATTGCATTACTGGTCTTTTCCCGTCGCGCAATTAGACTGATATTTCCTTTAGAAAATTATTTCCTTGTCCAGCAGCGCAAAGCGTCGGCCGCTTTTTTTTAGCTTTTAAGCAAAAACTGATAATTTAAGATAACTGAAATTTCTGACTATCAAGGAACGCAATTAAAAGTGCTCCGCTGATTATTTTTTCGCAGACAGTTGCAATTTGTATTCGTTAAATGTAGCTACCTCTTTTGCGCAGCATTTCCATGATTTTAGGGAACTGGAGCTTTTCTTCACATTATCCATTAGGTGCGAATTATTTAACATTTATTGAGATAATATAATATTTGAACCATTAACAAACGATTTTCTTGCCCCAAATTAAGAGCCCTGACAGCGACAGCCTTAAAAACGCCCGCAGATGAATAGACTGAGAACAGTGTGTCGCGAACGGAACCCTTGTGTCCAGAGACCGTGCTGAGAGTTATTCCTGCCAAGAAGCTGGTTGCGTCACACTAGCACCTATTAGAATCCATTTCATACACTGCTAAGATTCAGGAATTACTTATTTTTTCCTAAAGACATTCCGTTGCACAATTTTCAAGTCTCACCTTCAATACAGCAACAAAAAATTCCTTAAACTACGGGTTATCCAGTTGAAATGAATATGAATAAGATGTCGCAACAATGTATCTGTAAATGCTCAAAATAATATTTCAGTACGAGAACTTTCACTGTATATGCTCGTTTTGAACCTGTGTACATCATGCTTAATAAATATCGCCATTTTTGTGTCACTCAAATGAAGTCAACAACCCCCTTCTGTAGTACCTCTGTTCACACTCTGCGAGAGGCGAAGTCACT